ATCAATGTGCAGAAGCCAGTACTTTCCCCTTGTTTTGTCTATCTGAAGGCCAAGCTACATGGCACCGTGGAAGCTGCTGATTGGAGGTCTCCATGCCTCCGCTCTGTATAATACACTTGCATTCTGTTGTATCTGTGTTCGTGCTGTCTCTACCATCGACAATAAAACATGTCTTCTGTCTGAATTAAAGACGCGATCCCAGACTATGTCATCTTCTTCAGGTGGTGGAAGGATGCGGGCCTTGTCTGTAACATCTACAGAACAGAAGACTTTTTTTTTACACAAAAAAGTGTTTTTTTTTTCAAGCCAAAACTGAGAAACCTCAAGAGAATGCATCTTGATCAGCACACATGGACAATCTGCACAGCCCCTGATTCCACTCAGGCTGTGAGCTGCTGAGACATGGACAACACCAGCGTCCTCTTTTGCATGGACATAATTTGGAACAATTGGATTTCTGAATTTGGACATAATTTGGACTGAATTGAATTGCTGAATCTGGACACTAAAGCTGAAACGTGTGATTGAAAGACACGTCACAGAAGAATTCATGGCTCGACACAAATGCAGCCTGAAGAAACCAACACGGAGAAGTGGGAGAGACTGTTTTCAAAGCAATATCTGGAACCACCATCGACTGATGAAGTTTGGTATTTTACTGAAGATTGTGTGAGATTTCATAACACTTTGAAGCAACTTTTGTTAAAGTTAAACGTATCATTCTATCAATGTGCAGAAGCCTGTACTTTTCCCTTGTTTTGTCTATCTGAAGGCCAAGCTACATGGCACCGTGGCAGCTGCTGATTGGAGGTCTCCATGCCTCCGCTCTGTAATACTGGACTCAGACTTAAATTTTAATAGCCACATCAAATCAGTAACATCAGCAGCTTTTTACCATCTAAAAAACATTGCCAGGATCAAAAACATAGTGTCTAAAGCAGACCTGGAGATTCTTATCCATGCATTTGTCTCCAGTAGGTTAGACTACTGCAATGGCCTGCTCACAGGTCTGTCCAAACAGGCTGTAAAACAGCTGCAGTACATTCAAAATGCAGCAGCTCGAGTCCTGACAAGAACCAGGAAGTACGACCACATTAGTCCAGTTCTCAGGTCTCTGCACTGGCTTCCTGTGGCTCAAAGAATAGACTTTAAAACAGCTCTGCTTGTGTACAAGTCTCTCCATGGCCTCGCACCAAAATATATTAGTGACATGTTAGTCCCATATGAACCAGCCCGGACTCTGAGGAGCACAGGGACTGGACTCCTGTTAGTGCCCAGAGTCAGAACTAAACATGGGGAGGCTGCTTTTCAGATTCATGCTGCTAAAATCTGGAACAATCTTCCTGAAGATGTGAGACAGGCCTCCTCTCTGACAATGTTTAAAACCAGGTTAAAGACAGTTCTGTTTAACTGTGCATACAACTGAGGGATTCTATATTTTTATCTTTCTTTTTAATGTTCTGTGATAATTTATGATTTTAATGCTTTCTTGTTTTGTTCAGCACTTTGAATTGCCTTGTGTATGAATTGTGCTATATAAATAAACTTGCCTTGCCTTGCCTTGCCTAATACACTTGCATTCTGTTGTTCGTGTTGTTCGTGCTGTCTCTACCATCGACAATAAAACATGTCTTCTGTCTGAATGAAAGACGCGATCCCAGACTATGTCATCTTCTTCAATTGTTGACAAGTTTTATGAAAGATCCGAAGATGTTTTATGTGTTTTTGAAGTATTCCGAGTTCTGAGTTTTTGAAGTACCGAGTGAAGTACCGAGTTTGAGTTTTTGAAGTATTGAGTTATGATGTTATGTTGCTGTTTATCGATCCTGATGGTCACACATGAATGTGTGACCAGAGGGGGGAATGTGAGATTTCATAACACTTTTAAGCAACTTTTGTTAAAGTTAAACTCATGATTCTATCAATGTGCAGAAGCCAGTACTTTTCCCTTGTTTTGTTTATCTGAAGGCCAAGCTACATGGCACCGTGGAAGCTGCTGATTGGAGGTCTCCATGCCTCCGCTCTGTATAATACACTTGCATTCTGTTGTATCTGTTGTTCGTGCTGTCTCTACCATCGACAATAAAACATGTCTTCTGTCTGAATTAAAGACGCAATCCCAGACTTTGTCATCTTCTTCACACTGTAAACCCTGACAAGTAAAGTTTACTTGAAAAAACCATGGAAATAAATTGCGTATTAACTTCACTTGAATTCCTCGATATTACTTGATATTACCAAGTAACTCAAGTGATTGCAATAAAGTTTATATTTCTACTTATGCTCCGACTGGGAATCGTACTCAGAACCCTGCAGTTGAGAGGCAATGGTGCTACCCACTCAGCCACCAGGACACCCTGCCATTGTAACACCTGCCTCATTAAAGACTCTACACATCTGATATAGCCAAGCTTTAAATAAACTAACAATAAATGAGTAATATCTACTTACTGGGAAAAAACTTTGATATCTGAAGTAGGATTGAAGTTAGGGTTTACAGTGTGGGGAGTAATCCCACGTGGGCTGGCCACGTGTGATTTTTCAGCCAATCACGAGTTTGAAAGTAGTGGTATATGCTAATTAGGGCCATTAGCGCTCGGCCGGCCGCAGTCTTTCGCTGCATTCATATGCAAAGTAGGGACATTAGCATGGTACGGATGCGGCAGTTTGGAGGACAGGGCACCCTAACTGCGCCTTTTGAAAACTGCCTGAGATACCCGAAAAAGAGCGTGATTTCCTGCCGTTTAGGGTGACGAAAATCTAACTTTTCATGCAGTGCCTCATACTGTAGTCGCTCATACAGACTCCAAACTTTCCAGTCTTGGACGTAACAACATTTAGAAGGTTTTTTCAGAGGGATTTTTTAATAGCCTAGCCTGATTTATTCAGCTTTGAACCCAAAAAAACAGGCGGAATTGGAGTTTTTACAGATTTGTTCATTATGATTAGTCAATTGAAAAACTAAACAATATATCCAAAATCCCATCTGCTAAAATCTTAGTTACTAATATGTCAATAAAATGAAACCATACATTTTAATCTGGCGCAATCCATTATTTTTATTCCGTTGCCCAAAATATAGGCAATTTTGGCCATTTTTATGAACATGTCTTACTTTTTATATGGAAACATAAAATGACAGAACATTTTCTGTTCACCTGCCTTAAGCGGAGATAATACGAAGGACATGAGGTCCCTTTTAATGTTCGTATGATTGAGGCTGGTTCGATCTACTGGTTGTTTGGGTAAGGCAAGCGCACAAGTTAAAGCTGCGTAGGAATTGAACTGTATTGTGGCTCGAGTCCACAGGAATGTCGAAAATCCAGTTTATCTTGAAGCACCAGTGAAGCACCCGGTCAAAATGCATGTTTGCTGCTGGCTATCCCATACTGTAGAAGAAGTCAGAAAGGAACTTTTGAGAAGAAGTGTTTTTATTAAAAAATAAGAAGTAAAAATAAGTAATGAAGTAAAATACAATTGTATTGTTACAGTACTTACAATACAGTGCAGTAAGTTAGTACAGTGTTTTACAGAGTCAATCCTTTGACTTTAAACCGCGTTTTGATAGGCCCGAAGTGAGCAACAAACCTCACCGCGCGTCACTGGGTGGGGGATGGGGGTTGTGGCACAGTCTTGTTTGTCAAACGGTCGCTATTGTAAAACACACAACTCACACTGAGAGAGGGATTCAGACTGCAGACATCACTTAAGTCCAAACTTTAGCAGGACTTCTCTTGTACTGCTTTTGTAATGAGCTTGATAAACATGTAAAACTTTAAATACAATTGGAATTCAACTCCACAATCAGCACCAACCAAATTGCAGGAATAAAAATGCCAATTTTACAACATGACATTTCCTTTTGACAAGGAAAGAAGATAACAAGCTGATAACGTTACGTAATTGCACACAAGCAACCAAAAGGTGTGCAACCAAAACTGCCTCAGACAAGAATCGAATCCGGATCCCCCGGGTCCTAACCTGCAACGCTAACCATTCGGCCAACATAGTATCATTAGGCAAGTCAAGTTTGCACACAGTTTTAATACCTGAGCGTTTAAGTCGCTGGCAGAGCTAAAGCGGACTTAACCTGCCACCTTGTGGTGATAAGATGTAATATGTTTCACGCAGCTGCGTGATTCATGAAAAGCGTGAGTGAAGACGACAAAACGAAATGGGACCTACTGTAGTCTTGTCTTGGCCTTGTCTTGGTTTTGTCTTGGCCTTGTCTTGGTCTTGTCTTGGCCTTGTCTTGGTCTTGTCTTGGCCTTGTCTTGGCCTTGTCTTGGTCTTGTCTTGGCCTTGTCTTGGTCTTGTCTTGGTCTTGTCTTGGCCTTGTCTTGGTCTTGGCTTGGTCTTGTCTTGGTCTTGTCTTGGTCTTGTCTTGGGCTTGTCTTGGCCTTGTCTTGGTCTTGTCTTGGGCTTGTCTTGGTCTTGTCTTGGGCTTGTCTTGGCCTTGTCTTCTAAACCTAAACCTGTTCAAACTGGCCCTTATTTAACCACAAAAATGACCATATAACAGAAGGCATGTAACCAGTTCATGGCTCTGAATCTGTTCCATCCACAGACTGTGAATATTGACTATTGTGCTTTCTTTTGCCCTCTTCTTTTTGATTTGTAGAAAGTAAATACACTTTGGCCTAAACCATTTAAGTCAGAACTATGTTTTACGATATAATGATAATACTATATATATATATATATATATATATATATATATGTGTGTGTGTGTATATATATATATATTTAGTGACTCAAAAAGTAATCCACCAAAAGGTTGAGGAAACTATTAAAGTGTTAAAAGCTTCACAGGTTTTGGCCCAAGATTTCTTTCTTTTCTTTCTGTTTGGACAAACAACTTTTATTATACGGTATATAAAACAAATGTGTGACACAATGAGTCAGTAACTGTGCGTGTGTGTGTCTGTGTGTGCGCGTGTGTGTGTGTGTGTGTGTGTCTGTGTGTGCGCGTGTTTGTGTGTGTGTGTGTTGCAGGTGAAATGGAGTCTGTGTCTGTCAGTTCTCAGCTGAACAAAAGCGTTCGTCAGCAGTACATGCAACTGCCTCAGGGCGCCAGGTGCCAGGTGACCTACGTGTGGATCGACGGGACCGGAGAAGGACTGCGCAACAAGACCCGGAGTCTGGAGCAGGAGCCCAAGACCCTCCAGGGTACAAACACTCAGCAGGCATCAGGCTCACATCAGATACTGTAGATACATGAGGACACACCATAAATAGACATTTTGTAATGTTTACAAAGATTCTATTCTACATTTTATTTTGAAAGACCACAAAGCAGTATTTATGGGGACTTGCAAAAATATTCACACAATCCAATCCACTTTATTTAGGTAAAAAAAAGTGTTTTTTATCATTTGAAAAAAAAAAAAGAAATCCTCCTTCTGCTGCACAGATAAAAGTAACACATTTAAATATACAAGGTGCAGCTTCGCCATAGAATGTCGGCTGCCCAAACCCTTTCCAGGCAGGCGTGGCAGATTTGCAACAACTTCATCTCTTGTCACCTAACTACTCCATATCCATATCTTTGACCTTTTACTGCTCCACTGCTGGACATAGTTGATCTTTAGGAACACACCCAGTTCCACCAGGGGGCGGAGCTGTGGGTCTTCTCAGGGTTTTTCCGAGGGTCAGCTCTATTTACCACAACGTTGCAAATCTGCAACATCCCAGAATGTATTGCCTGTGCAGGTCTCTCTCTTTAAAAAAAGTCAGGATAGTATATTACTACCCCATATTATATTTTTCCCAAATATTATATATTTCCTATTATTAAAATTGAATTGGGCCTTGACACGGTTTAAATAAATGGCAGCGGAAGATAACGGTAGATTTTGTTTAAAAATTAAAGATGACTGTGTGTAAGAAAGTGCCTGTGTGTAAGAAAGGGAAACTACAGTCCTCACGCTTTAGATTTGTGCAGCCGGTGACAGGGGGTACGTTTCTGTGATTGATGTGGAGGTGTGTTGCCCGAGGACACAACCCAGACACATGTGAGCGTTTCTTTCTGAGAAGTGTGCAACGTCACTTTGGTGAGAAATGTAGGTTAAAAGTTTCTGTGGGCTACAACAGAATGTACTTAAACCACATAGTAACCCTTAGAACTAATCTATAACTATTTTTCCTTTCAATGATGATTCTGATATTTATTACCATGACATTTTTTTTTATCTTTGATCAGCTTTTTCAAACCAAGGCTTAGATCCAGGTCTGAGGCTTAGATCCAGAACTGAAGCTGTAGATCCAGGACTGAGGTTCAGATCCAGGACTGAGGCTGTAGATCCAGGACTGAGGCTGTAGATCCAGGTCTGAGGCTGTAGATCCAGGACTGAGGCTGTAGATCCAGGTCTGAGGCTGTAGATCCAGGACTGAGGCTGGAGATCGTTAAAATACATACCACAGAAAGGTGAAGAAAGTGAGAACCACCCTCACTCAGCCATTTCGCTCTCAGCCCAACGCTTCAAACAGTGACTCACAGGGCATTTGAAGAATCTGAAGATAACATCATTTCTAATAGGTTCAAGATTGAGGTTGCTGTCTGTTTTGTTCTTAAATGTTAACAAGACTCTTTCAGTTGGTTCAAATCATTTTGCAAAAAGTGATGAAAAATAGGTTAAAAAAACGCTCAAATTTGGCAAAATGTATCTTAATTTGAGCACTTTTTGACTGCCTTAAAACAAGATTTGCCAATGGGACAAAGCAAAATGATCTTGTTTTAGAAAAGATACAAGAAACGTGTCTCTTGGAATGAGAAAATAAAGCAACAGTTGAGGTGCCCCAACTTTAACTGTACATTTTGCTCGTTGCAGACATCCCAGAGTGGAACTTCGATGGTTCCAGCACGTACCAGGCCGAGGGCTCAAACAGCGACATGTACCTCATCCCTGTCGCCATGTTCAGAGACCCCTTCACCCTGGACCCCAACAAACTGGTGCTGTGTGAGGTGCTCAAGTACAACCGGCTGCCGGCGGGTACACCAGCTTTCAACGTCAAAACCAGACTCAGTTTATTTGCCGTTTCCAGTATACCCACATTAGAACGCAAAGAGTAAGATTACCCCAGTGTGCACCCGAAACAGAATCGGAATCATTTGTATTGCCATTGTGAAAAACAGGGAGTCACAAACTAGGAATTTGCTTTGGTTATATAAGAATAATAGAAAAGAATAGCATAAGGTAGAATAAGGGAAAAAAAGAAAAAATGTACATAATGTTTCTTAAAACTACTTCCAGACGAGTTCATAACTAAAACAAGCTAAAATGTACAAGAAACCATTGTTGCCGTGATACCAACAAGCAGCTTCAATAACGACAAGTGCAAGATCAAAAAAGTGCTTTTTTCAGACTGAGACAACAGATAGAAACCATTAACATATGAAGATGTCGAGCAATATCTTCTGCCGGTGAAGAAGAAGCTGGAACATGGCTTTTCCAGGGGCCAGAAGGGTTATTGATTATTCTCAGACGTCAGTTTAAAGGTATATAGGAAGATTTTCCGAAATTTTGGGAAAGAATTACCATCTCCACTTTTTGAACAAAACTCTTTGGTCTTTTGGAGGTCCATTAAGTCTTGATGATCCACCCGGAAGAAGAAATTCCTCCTATATACAGGACCTTTAAAAACCTCCAGAGCAGGTGTAGCTCATAAGGAGCACACTAGATATTAATTTTCAACAAGGGTCAAAAAATGCAAGTGTGCAATGTAATAACGCAAAATCTATTGAAATTAGTCTGCCCTGTTCATTATTTGACTTTATTATGAGCAGAATGTGTTTGTTTGTGTGATGCAGAGACGAACCACCGGGCGCGCTGCAAGAAGATCATGGAACAGGTGAAGGAGGAGGTGATCTGGTTCGGGATGGAGCAGGAGTACACTCTGTTTGGGGCGGACGGACACCCCTTCGGCTGGCCCAAGAACGGATACCCCAGACCCCAGGGTGAGTCTGCTGCTGAGGGGGGAGCGGGACAGTCACAGGGTTGGGGCACAAACAGGCCCTGTCATGGTTTGGGTTCATTTTGTGTTTTATTTTGTAATTTGTGAACCCCTGTGTCTTCTATAGTTGTACTTCCTGTTACCTGATTACCTGCTTTCGGACAGACTGTAGATTTAGGACTGAGGCTGTAGATCCAGGACTCAGGCTGTAGATCCAGGACTGAGATTGTAGTTCCAGGACTGAGGCTGTAGATCCAGGACTGAGGCTGTAGATCCAGGACTGAAGAGGCTCCCATCATCACGCCATGAAACAGACAATGGGACAGTGGGTAAATAGCAATGAACAGACTACATATGGTTTGGTCCTTGTCTCCTCAGGTCCGTACTACTGTGGTGTGGGTGCGGACTGTGCTTATGGCAGAGATGTCGTAGAGTGTCATTACAAAGCCTGTCTTTACGCTGGACTCAATATCTATGGCACCAACGCGGAGGTCATGCCAGCACAGGTATGATTTCAACACAAACTACAGACCAACTTTAACTTTTATTTAAAGCTGGGGTATCTATGTATGTGTGTCTCTGTTTATGTGTTTTTCTGTTTGTCTCTGTCTCTGTCTGTGTAGTGGGAGTTCCAGATTGGCCCCTGTGAGGGTCTGGACATGGGAGACCACCTGTGGATGGCCCGGTTCCTCCTGCACCGCGTGTGTGAGGACTTCGGGGTGATCCTGACCCTCGACCCCAAACCCATGATGGGAAACTGGAACGGAGCCGGCTGCCACACCAACGTCAGCACCAAGGCCATGCGGGAGGAGGGCGGACTCAAGTAAGTGCTTTTATCACCGAACATAGATCAGGGGGGTCAAACCGGTTCCAGAAAGGGCCGGTGTGGCTGCAGGTTTTAGGTCCAACCTAAAACCTGCAGGTTTTAGGTCCAACACAAGACTCCACCTTTTTCCTCAAATGTTAAGGGTAAAACCATAGACTGTAACCACCTAACACATACATACACCACCAAGTAGTAGTAGTAGTAGTAGTAGTAGTAGTAGTAGTAGTAGTAGTAGTAGTAGTACGACTGTGTTTGCGGCTGTTATAGAATTACATACCCCAAAACAAGGAGAAAGCCCAAAAGTATTTGTCTTAAATCAGGAGCGTAAGTTTATTGTAACGCACGTGCGGAGAGCTAGCATATCCACCAGGCAGCATACCCAGCTCTGGCTCGCAGAGCCCCGAGTTTCCTGTTTACAAGACACACACGAAAGACAGTCCCGCCCACAACAGATCGGAGGGGGCCACCGGTGAAGGAGGCGCATAGGAAGCGCAGGCGTCATGCCCCTGTGGTGAGGCAATCAGACACAGGGCATGGAGGTGCGAACAGACAGACAATGGTAGAAGATGCAAGCATACAGATGCGAGATGCGAAAGACACAAGGGTGTGACAGACAGCAGGGGCCCTCACAAAGCTCAGAATGGCGTCAGAAGGTCGTCTCTGCATTGATAAAAGGCCTTTGACGTCCGTGTATTTGCTGCGGCTGGTTTTATGTAATTACTCCAAAAACTGTCACCACACTCCCCTCTTTTGATAATTCAAAACCATTTTTGCATTAATCAGTTAAATACCAGAGGCATCGTAATCACACCACCTTCAAGCTTGAAACACTTAAATTATTGCTGTCCAAAGTGGACAAGAAAAGAAACATGCTTGTCAATAAAAGAAAGAGCACATTATAATAACACAATGGATCCGGACAGCGATAAGAGAAGGCAATATTAACATAATGAACACGGTCAGCACGGAAAGTAGTGTCAGTGTGGCCAGCATAACAGTCCAAGGGCCCATGCCGGTCTTAGCCGGGCTACGTTCGGTAGTCTTTTCCGCGGGAATACTCACGAGCAGTGCCGTCTCGCAGTCAGTGGCACCGCTCCCTATGAGCGTGTGTGGAGCGTTAGTGGCCATGGCGATGTTTGGTCTTGGAGCGGCAAGACTCTAATTGCGTTGAAGCCTTGGCCTCAGCACTCGGTTGGGCAGAGTGCTCGGGGTTTGGGGTGTGGAGACCATGGCTTGAGCACGCTCCAGATCGGCCAGGCCCAAAGCTCGTTTGATGGGAGACCTCATGACAGCACGCTTCACCATGTGCCTCATCAGGAACTGTAGAGCAGCCCTCATCTCCACCTCCTCCGGACACACGGGAGACGAGACACCAGGGGGCACTCCAGCAGAGCTCAAATCTGCATTATGGCCAGAGGGAGCAAGCTCTGGAGAAATCTTTGGAATGGGCAGCAGCTCTGCATACTTGCTGCAGCTGAGCAGAGCGCTCAGGGCCTTCATGGCTCCCAAGCCTTGGGATCCGGGGGCTGGGGAGTTGGGCAAAGGGGGGTCGCCTCGGGAACGCTGGGATTCTCTGGGTGTTGTTGTTGGCCTGCTTCACCGACGGTGGTCGCACGCCGGCCGACTTCTTCAGCGTAGGGAGCCGCGGATGGGCCTGGTCCGTCCGCGCCCTCGGTGTCCTCGTCTATGGCCCTCAGTGGCAGCACCGCCCGACAGTGGTTGGCGTGGATCCAAGTTGTCCTCTCCGCGACCTTAACGGCAGTGTCCGTCACCAGGAGGACGAGGAATGGGCCGAGCCAGCGCTTGGACCGCCAATGCTTTCGTCTCGTTTCCTTCATCAGGACCCAGTCGCCTGGCTTGATCCTGTGCAGAGCCGCCTGCGCAGCCTGTGGCAGGGCGCTCCTGACCTGGGCAGAAATAGAGGACAAAAGTGCATTAATTTCCTTACAATAGGACAGCATGTCGTCATCACACAAAGAGGTGCTTGGCAGATCTCTGTTCGGGGGTCCCGCGCCCAAGTTGGGTGGTCTGGCACAGAGGATTTCGAATGGGACTCTCATGCGCATGTACATGAGTGCCATTCTCTCGCTCGCACGCGCCTCCGGACCAGGGGGCGTAACTGCAGTGTTTACGTATATCAATGCCCAGAAATTCACCCACTTCCTCAATGACTTTTGCTACAAAGTGACTGCCATTGTCACTAGAGATTTTCCCTCGGGACACCCCATCGTGGCACAATTTCTGTGAGCAGAGCTTTCACCACCGCGTTGCTCGTGGCGTGTTTGCATGCAAATATTCAGTCCATTTGGACCAGAGATCCGCCAGACCCAGACAGTACTACTTACCTTGGCATGGTGTGAGTTCAACAAAGTCCCTTTGGACATGTTGAAATGGGCGCAGGGGCGGAGGATGAGCAGCCTGTTGGATACTTTTGGGACTTACCTGGGTTGTGCGCGAGGCATATAGCGCATGTTTGGCAGAATCTCTGTGCAAATGCCGTAAACCCCTTTGTATACCAATTTTGTGTGATTAACTCACACATCCCTCCTTCTGAGGCATGGATACTTTAATTGCAAACTGTCTGAAGAAATGCCGTGGTAAGCACGGTTTGCTGTCTGGTCCCAGCCACACACACCATGCCGTCGTTGAGCCCCATTCCCCTCCCACAGCAGCGTCTCTGCTGGAGTAGCCAGTGTCTGCATCGCTGACAGAGAGGAGAAAATATCAACGTCTTGAGTGAGGTAGTGTGTGTGTGTGTGTAGAGGTGCGTATGCCGCTGCCTTGTCCGCGCGCCGATTCCCTGCAGAGATGGGATCAGTGGCATTAGTGTGGGCCTGGCATTTGCATACAGCGATCTCTAAGGGCAACATTACAGCTCTCAGCAGACGTTCAACCTGTGTGGAATTAAGAATTGGTTTACCATCAGATTTCATGAAATTGCGGTGTTTCCACAGTGCCCCCCAGTCGTGCACCACAGAGAAACCATAGCGCGTATCACAGAATATGTTAACAGTTTTGCCCGCTGCCAGCTCACAAGCCCCGGTGGGCGCGACCAGCTCAGCGGTTTGTGCTGAATGGTAGTGGGGCAAACTACCAGAGTCTATAGTATCAAAATCAGAACACACAGCATAGCCGACTCGGTTCTTCCCAGTGTTGTCACGTGACGCGGCTCCGTCTGTATAAAAAAAATCAAGTCAGGATTAGTCAGAGGCACCTCTTTCAGGTCTGGCCTGGGAGTGCATATCTGTTCTATTGTGGCGATACAGCAGCGTGCCTCCCCTTCCTCTGGCGTGGGCAGCAGTGAGGAGGGGTTCAGCTGTGTGCATCTTTTCACCGTAGTTCAAAGAGCACCGTGTTGTATTTCAGCCAACGAGCCGCAGAAAGGTGAGAGGTTTTCTGCTCTAGCAGGATCAGGGAAACAGCATGGGGCACAAGCAAAGTTAGTTCAGTGTATCCCACAAGGTCACGTGATGCTAGGGCCGCTTTCTCAGCGGCAGCCACAGCCCGCAGGCAGCGAGGCAACCCTGCTGCCACGGGATCGAGTTTTGCTGAGAAGTAAGCAGTGGGTCTCAGTGGCCCTCCGTGAGACTGCAAAAGTACCGACACCATGCACCCACATCGCTCATCCACAGTCTGAGTGAATGGGCGGGTTGGGTCAGGGAGACCTAGTGTGTGTGTGTAGATTTGCTGTTCCGTTCATCTCCAGTTGCTTTTCTCCCGGATCGTCCTCAATTCATATTGTGGGCTTTTGTGCCAAAGTGGAGGCTCATTTCCTCCTGATCCATACTACTGTCATCCCTGGAGCAGGGGTAGTTTATCTCTCATCTGAAAAAGAAATATCAGAACACAAAAAAAAAAAAAAAACACAAAAAAAAATGCCCACTTTCGCTTGTCAATCTTTTTCCCAATTGGGCAAAACATAACTGCATTGACAGACGGTGTGTGGCATCAGGGCGGAGGCTGTAGCCAGATACAGAACAACAAAATGTATGTTTCTAATTTTATACTCCCCTAAATGTGAGTTTACCAACCAAAGTTGTCCTTCAACCAACGACAGCTCACTGCGGTTGGACCGAATCACTGTCAGGGCAAACAGCAGAGGGAGGAACTCCCAATATCTTCAGCGAGGTATTTCATCTCCGAGTACTTTCCGCAGAGTACTTTTCTCAGAGTACTCATCCCAGAGTACTCTCACTTTTACACCTGTTCAATAAAGCTTGTTATCTTTGAATCTCTAGTACTTACACCGTATGCTGTTGACAAAAAATAATTATTCCATGATCACATTAAAACATTACAGACACATTTGTTATTCCATGATTCCGTTCAGCACTCCTCATTTCACACATCACACTCATATCACAGTCACATCACAGGCCGATTCCCCACGTTAGTATTGGTCCAGAGTTTGTTAAGGTCAACGTAGTGTACTTTGACATGACACACAAACATATAACATACACAAAACATATAACACACACCAACATATAACACACACAAACATATAACAACACAGAAGGCCTGTAATTTTAACTTTGTTATATTTTTCCATGTCCAATTCCAATTGTCTCATGAGCTATTTCTATTGTTGCAACTTTCAGAGCCTGCAGAGCTTTAAAAGAGTTTTCCTAAAAGGATCCATTTCCAACTTTAGTGTTTACCACGTGGTCTGTATTTCGGGCTTATCACAGATTGTGTCCCCTATATCTCTAATGAGCTCTTGTCACCTAAAAAATGTTTATTAGGCCCGAGCCCCGAACGGGGTAAGGGCCTATTGCTTTCACAATGGTGAAAACAAATGGTGGCGGTGCGTGACGGACGCGTCAGCGCCCGTCACTCACCAAAACGTGACAGTTGCGTGCGTAAACTCAAACGCTTTAAAATGATGTATCACATGCCATTGAAACCTATATTGTTTTTGCTCGAGACAAGTCACAAAAAATTCCTTTTTTATTTATTTATTAGGCCCGAGCCCCGAACGGGGAAAGGGCCTATTGTTTTTGCTCGAGAGATGTCAAATTCTGCACTTTGAGCCTTTATTTCACCCCCTGAACATGCATGAAAAGTTGTAAAATTTTGACCAAACATCAGACCTGGTGAAAAATTTGATATTTTGGTGTTTATTTTTATGGGACTCAAAAAATGCCAGAACAGCGCCACCTACAACAGCCAATGGGAGTTTCAGAGGTCAAGTTTGTCGTAGAGCCATGAAATTCGGTACACATGTTCCTCAAGTCAAGATACGACCGAAATGTTATCATGGCTCCGCCCTCTGACAAACAGGAGGCCCATAAATTTCACTGCAAAATGGAAAAATGAACAGCAAAAGTTTTCATACATGTCGGTTGGAAAGCGACTCCTCCTCGGCCGTTTCACCGATTGGCCTCCATATCACTCCACATTGTCTAAACACATGTACCATCAAAATGACCTCAGGGATTTTTGATCAGTGAAACGTTGTTTGAGCAGCGGAGCGGCAAAATGTGAGTGTTTATTGGCCGTTTTTCACAACCTTCTATTTGCTCCCGTTTACACATACAAATTCCGATTTGCACAAAACTTGAATCCATGGTTCAACTCTAGGGTCTAGGTCATTTGAAAGTGAAATAATTGAACTTGGCTCATTAACGCCCCCTACAGACTATTTCAGAGTTTTTAGTATGAAAAACTCTGAAAACTTTGACTCCATCTGTAGGGGCACTAATGAGCCAAGTTCTTTTATTTCACTTTTAATTGACCTAGACCCTAGAGTTAAACAATGTATTAAAGTTTTGTGCAAATCAGACTTTGTATGTGCAAACGGGAGCAAATTTAATATTGTCCAAAACGGCCAAAAAAGGTCACAATTTGCAGCTCCCCTGTTCGAACAACGTTTCACTGATGAAAAATCGCCGAAGTCATTTTCAAGGTACATGTGTTGAGATGATGTGGAGCGATTTTGAGGCGAATCGGTGAAACGGCCGAGGAGGAGTCGCTTTCCAACCGACATGTATGAAAATGATTGCTGTTCATTTTTCCATTTTGCAGTGAAATTTATGGGCTTCCTGTATGTCAGAGGGCGGGGCCATAATAACATTTTTTTCATGTCTTGACTTGAGGAACATGTGTACCGAATTTCATGGCTCTACGACAAACTTGACCTCCGAAAAATCCCATGGGGGTTATTATTAGGCCCGAGCCCCGAACGGGGAAAGGGCCTATTGTTTTTGCTCGAGAGATGTCAAATTCTGCACTTTGAGCCTTTATTTCACCCCCTGAACATGCATGAAAAGTTGTAAAATTTTGACCAAACATCAGACCTGGTGAAAAATTTGATATTTTGGTGTTTATTTTTATGGGACTCAAAAAATGCCAGAACAGCGCCACCTACAACAGCCAATGGGAGTTTCAGAGGTCAAGTTTGTCGTAGAGCCATGAAATTCGGTACACATGTTCCTCAAGTCAAGATACGACCGAAATGTTATCATGGCTCCGCCCTCTGACAAACAGGAGGCCCATAAATTTCACTGCAAAATGGAAAAATGAACAGCAAAAGTTTTCATACATGTCGGTTGGAAAGCGACTCCTCCTCGGCCGTTTCACCGATTGGCCTCCATATCACTCCACATTGTCTAAACACATGTACCATCAAAATGACCTCAGGGATTTTTGATCAGTGAAACGTTGTTTGAGCAGCGGAGCGGCAAAATGTGAGTGTTTATTGGCCGTTTTTCACAACCTTCTATTTGCTCCCGTTTACACATACAAATTCCGATTTGCACAAAACTTGAATCCATGGTTCAACTCTAGGGTCTAGGTCATTTGAAAGTGAAATAATTGAACTTGGCTCATTAACGCCCCCTACAGACTATTTCAGAGTTTTTAGTATGAAAAACTCTGAAAACTTTGACTCCATTTGTAGGGGCACTAATGAGCCAAGTTCTTTTATTTCACTTTTAATTGACCTAGACCCTAGAGTTAAACAATGTATTAAAGTTTTGTGCAAATCAGACTTTGTATGTGCAAACGGGAGCAAATTTAATATTGTCCAAAACGGCCAAAAAAAGGTCACAATTTGCAGCTCCCCTGTTCGAACAACGTTTCACTGATGAAAAATCGCCGAAGTCATTTTCAAGGTACATGTGTTGAGATGATGTGGAGCGATTTTGAGGCGAATCGGTGAAACGGCCGAGGAGGAGTCGCTTTCCAACCAACATGTATGAAAATGATTGCTGTTCATTTTTCCATTTTGCAGTGAAATTTATGGGCTTCCTGTATGTCAGAGGGCGGGGCCATAATAACATTTTTTTCATGTCTTGACTTGAGGAACATGTGTACCGAATTTCATGGCTCTACGACAAACTTGACCTCCGAAAAATCCCATGGGGGTTATTATTAGGCCCGAGCCCCGAACGGGGAAAGGGCCTATTGTTTTTGCTCGAGAGATGTCAAATTCTGCACTTTGAGCCTTAATTTGACCCCCTGAACATGCATGAAAAGTTGTTAAATTTTGCCCAAATATCAGACCTGGCGAAAAATTTGATATTTTGGTGTTTATTTTAATGGGACTCAAAAAATGCCGGAACAGCGCCACCTACAGCAGCCAAAATAATACCCCTATGGGACTTTTAGAGATCAAGTTTGTCGTAGAGCCATGAAATTCGGTACACATGTTCCTATAGTCAAGACAAGAAAAAAAATATTATTATGGCTCCACCCCCTGACAAACAGGAAGCCCAGAAATTTCACTGCAAAATGGCAAAATGAACAGCAAAAGTTTTCATACATGTTTGTTGGAAAGCGACTCCTCCTCGGCCGTTTCACCGATTCGCCTCAAAATCGCTCCACATCATCTCAACACATGTACCTTCAAAATGACCTCAGGGATTTTTGATTAGTGAAACATTGTTTGAGCAGCGGAGCGGCAAAATGTGACCTTTTTTGGCCGTTTTTGACAACATAAAATTTGCTCCCGTTTGCACAAACAAACTCTGTATAGCACAAAAACTTTAATACATTGTTCAACTCTAGGGTCTAGGTCATTTGAAAGTCAAATGATTCAAATTGACACAATATAACCCCTATATAACCCCTACAGACTATTTCAAAATTTTAGATGGGCATTTTCAAATTTAGTTTTTTCAAAATGTTTGAAATTTTGCACAAAAATCTGTTTTGCCCTCTTGATTCATAAAGTCAATAGGGTCCAAGGCTTATTTTTTACCCTGTTGCCTTGGCGACGACAAACGCTCCCCATTCATTGCAAATGTACACCTCACACAAACATCAAACCAGCCGTTCGGCCGTTTCACCGATTCGCCTCAAAATCGCTCCACATCATCTCAACACATGTACCTTCAAAATGACTTCAGGGAATTTTGATCCGTGAAACGTTGTTTGAGCAGCGGAGCGCATCATTTTTAAACTTGCAAAAAACTGATCACCACCAACCATTCACACACAACCCAGACTCTTTCTTGACAATGTGGGAGAGGTGTCTTGCCCAAGGACACATTAGCAGTTTGGCGCCCCACTGTGGCACCTGGTGTTCCCAGAGGTCTCCCATCACAGCCTTAACCCGGCCCTGACTTAGCTTTAGAGGTCTGACGGAATTTGGGTTTCACATGCTTGTGGTGCCATAAATGTAGCGCCTCCCTCTGGTGGCAGCAAAGAGAGTTACAGGCAGAAAGCATCTTTTATCCTTGATACTTGGTTCACCGTATACGTTCAACTTAATATTGTTTCACATTCTAAAACATGAAATGAGAAAGTAAAACGCAATTTCATTATATGTAAATAGGCTAAAAGGAATGCATCACATTTCATATTTAAGACCAATTCCATTTCAATTCCCTTCAATTTATTTTTGAAAAGGCCTAAATCACAAGAGCTGTTCAAACTTGTTAAATACACTGAGGAAAAACACATAGAGCCTTTGGTCCATAAAAGGCAGATGACCAATGTCCGTAAATGTCCATAAATGTTCCTAAATGACCGTGTAAGCACCAGAACTTGCGCTATCCTCTGTTGAGTCCATCCCAAACCTCTGGTCCTCAGGTTCATCGAAGAAGCCACGGAGAAGCTCGGCAAGCGTCACAAGAAGCACATCGAGCATTACGACCCGCACGGAGGCCGGGACAACCAGCGGCGCCTGACCGGCCTGCACGAGACCTCCAGCATCCACGACTTCTCCACCGGTGTGGCCAACCGTGCCGCCAGCATCCGCATTCCTCGCCACGTGGGTCAGGAGAAGAAGGGATACTTCGAAGACCGCAGACCTGCCGCCAACTGCGACCCTTACTCTGTGACCATGGTGCTGGCCGAGACCATGCTCCTGCCGCCTGAGCTGCACGACAAAGAGTACAAATTCGAGAAAGAATATATGTTCGACAAGGAGTAGTGTGAGTTTGAATAAGTAATATGCAAGGAATGATTGTACAACTCCTCTAGCTCAGTAAACGTTTGTGTCACACTCCCCCTTTTTGGGCTTAACAATCTGTGGTTTAGGACTCTCTGTGATTCTGGAGTTTATTTTCTAAATCCAGATATGAACCATAATGATTGACCAATCAAATTGTGAGGGTAAACTCCAACTTGTCTAAGCAACCGTCTTAGCAATTGTCGTAGAAACCGTCTCAGCAACACATCTGCCCCTGCCAAGGACTCCCTAAAATATTGGTATTTTGTCGCACTGCAAGCTCACCATTGCCTTCTCGACACTAGCCTTAACCAAATTAGCGGTTTGTAGCCCTAATAGTTGTTTAATTGAGGAACGAATACAAAGACTTTAGTCAGTCTTGCCCTTGCTACAGCACAAAGCTAATTCCGTTGGATCAAATGCTAGGATGAGGAAATTGGAAAACTGGATTTACAAAGTGTCCAACAAATCGCCCGGTCCCTAATATTATTTTTTCTTAAACCGTTATGATATTTTAACCTTTTAAGTAAGTTACTGCTAAGAACTTGAGGATACATACAAGACATATCCCAAAGCCAATACCACGGTGCTCATTCTGCTCATTCAAGTTTCACCTTCTACCTATCCTCCTTTTTTCTGTCCTTCTCGAATGAATCTAAGCATCTCTTGGTCCTTTTGAATGTTAATTTTTTATTATTTATTACATATCATTTATTTTCAGATTTTAAGTTACTGTCAAAAACAATCAAACAAAAATTATATTTTTTGATGTACTGAGTGTGTGCTTGTTTTTAACTTGAAAATTTTGTCCTGAATGTCAATGTAAATTACAAAAAATAAATTGATGACAAACTGTCTTCATACAATAATAATTAATATTGTTGTACTTTATGTCTGTATTTTCTCAGGTAACTTTTTTTAATCACATGTGTATGGTTACAGTCCGTAATTTTCACACAAAATTCTCAAAAACATGACATGATGCAGTAAAAAGTCTCATTATAATTGTTAACAGTCAAGAGTAATGCGTGATATTTCTTAGTCAAAGCGGTTCGTTTTGCCATTGCAACAGTTGTCCACTAGATGGCCTCAGAGCTTGTAGTTTTTTTCTGTTGCAGGAACAGCGGCTCTTATGGGAAGGTCACCGTTTGTATTGTTCGGTGAATGGGACAAGGACACGTGGGATTAGGACTATAATGAATAATTTATCAAAAAGACCAATTGGGTCAGGTGTCGTCTCCAGAGATTAAACCCGCATCTAATTTAGACCCTGAAAAACACCAGACCCTCTCACTGCTGCCAACATGTACAGAATGTATACATACAACTGTATATTTCTTGCGCTGGAATATACAGTAATTTCATACTTTTTTTATACTTGCTTCTCTATTATGCTAAAGTTAAAGATTTTATTTTAATTTAGAGTTATTGGGCACTCAAATATGCTTCACATGTAATTATTCTTTCACTCGCTGATGAACAACCATAGTCACAGCTGCCCTGGGACACCCAGACAGAAGCAACCAGTATGTGCCATTAGCCCCTCCGACCACCACCAACCACACACTCTGGGGTGAAGTGTCTTGCCAAAGGACACAACAGTTTGGCACTTTACAGCCATGGCCACCTCACTGTGGCACTTGGTGTTCCCAGAGGTCTCCCATCACAATATTAACCAGGCTATGCCCGGCACAGCTTTAGAGGTCTGATAGGATCTGGTTTTCACATGCAAGTATGGCTACATATCACTCATGAGAGGTCATTTCTGTGTAGGCTTTGCATGTTCTCCCTGTGTCAACAGGTTTCCTTTCTCATTCCAATACAAACATGCCCAATAGGTCCAGCCTCCTGTGGGGCTACATCGCTTCTATCACGATGTGGAAGTAGAGTCGAGAAGAATATAGTAGAGTATACAGTACAGTAGAGTAGAGAATAGAGTAGAGTAGAGTATAGAGCTGGTGGCAACAGAGCTATAGTTCATACATACTCCTCCCCCTCGTCCCTGGTCTGTCTTCATGGTACTGGTATACACGGTACCAAAAGGGGAGCAAACCTGACCAAACGCTTAGAGAGATAAGGACGTGAGAAAACCTGGCAGCCATGGATGAGACAGGGGCGACTGGGACTTTTTTGTTTTTGCTATATTTAGTCTGAGGTTATTACGGCACGAGACGAAGCTCAGTGTTCGAGATTCAAAAGGAGCAAACGTTCTACTAAACAGAGTCTGGTTTTAAATGGCTTGAAACAAAACCAACCATGGCTAAAAACCAAGAAAAGAAGATTATATTTCTCTACTAGACTGATTTATGTGACAATAGAGGTTTGAAATCATTGTGTGTGGATTGAAACAATGAATAATAAAGTGTCTTTTTGACTCTGTCTCCAAGAAAGACAAGTTAACATTATATTATCTGTTTATATAAGAGATAGGAGACATGGATACTACAAAAACACATATTTTCTTCTCTCAAATTCACCATAATGGAAAACTATCCATCCATCCATTTTCTACCCTTTAATCCATTTCTGGGTCAGGGGGGTGGCAATCAGAGATGCCACCCAAGTCTCATAGCACCAGCCCCTCACTGACCCTCTGCAGGTGGTGAGTCCACAGGAGGGTCATTTGTAAATCATTTTCACAAGAGCTCGGACGGAGCAGAGGACAGTGTAAATATTATGTTACAAGTCGACCTTTTTTTAAAGCTGGGGTACTTGACTTTTGTTTGATTAATAACTAATGTTTGTACCAATAAAATGGTTCTTGTAAGAGTAAAATGTGATGAACTAATCTGACCATAAAACAGTGTCTTCACTATATTAGAACCATGTGAGTTACTACTTGACGATTATTTGGGCTGAGAGCTGATTGGCTGAGGGGAGGGTGGTTCTCTCTTTTTCCACTTTTCTGTCTAAAAAAAAGCGGATCGAAAGATTTGACGGAAGATTTGACGGAAGCAAATACATATACATGTGTAAAGGAAACAAGGGATAGAATGAGGAATGGATGACATAGATTCAGTTCTGGTTTGAAAGTTAAGTACCTCAGCTTTAATGAATGTCAAAATGGTCTTTCTATAATACACAATGGTCGACAACATTGCATGATTAAACGCCCATAAGATTTTCTGTCGTAGTGCTGAAATACCACTAAAAGAAAGAGTAAAGTATTCTGAATGGTCATGGACAACAACAACAAAAATATATATAGAATCTAGAGAAACAGATGAATAAAAACATGAAAAATAAGCATAAAATTAAAATAAATACATACATATAATATACATTAGAATAATAACAATAATAATAATGAATAACAAACAGAACATATAATATAATAATAAAACAACAACATATTAATAGATTTTTAATAATGATAATAACAGCTAATACTTTTTTGAATCAACATAAAGGAAAATACGTTAAAAAAATTACTATACAATAGCAGTAAACAAATATTAATAATAGCAATAATACTACTACTAATAATGCTAATATTAGTAGTAATAATAATAATAATAATGTAAATAATTATAACAACAATTACGGCAATAATAGCCCCATTTTAATCACAGCCCATTGTTTATTTACACTTCCTCTTCCCATCAGTATTTTACTACATTTCCATAACCCTCTCGCACCCGCTGTCGTGATTGGGCGCTGCTCGTGTGACGTCACTGGTCTCTAAGGGTGAGGGAGGGGGTTAAGGAGAGGGGAGGGGAGGGGGTTAAGGAGAGGGGAGGAAGGGGGTGAGGGTCTGTGTGCGTGTGTTTGTAGAGGAGGCAGGTGTGGACCGCGTCTCTCGCTCCACCGCCGTCATTACGCGCACACGGCCGGAGCGCGCACTCAGCCATGGGGAAGCTGCAGGAATTTGACATCACTTTTACCAACAACAAGGTGGTCTACAGCCCCGGGGACTCTATCACCGGGACCCTGAAGATCCGGACCGGCCACTCGCTGCAATATAAAGGTAACAGGAAATTCGATTCTCTCTCTTTTTTAATCGAGTTTGGGTTTTCTTTCGCTGTCTGAGTGTCGCTGCTGCGCTTTGAAGTTAGTTTCTTTGGTTTTGGCTCGCGTCTTTTTGCATCTTGGTTTGTTGCTGTGGTCTGTGGCAGTGAATTAAGTCAATGAAGCGTTTGTTGGAGTTGGGATGGTCTTGGAAAGTGTGGTCGAGCTGCTGGGACTGTTGATTCTGCTCGGTCTGGTTCCTGGTAGTTCCTCCTGGTCTGACTCTGGTTCTAAAGCTGGTTCTGTCTGGTTCCCTAAGGTTTACGGTCTAGGTCCCGGTCGATTTGAGTTAGAATGGTCTTGGAAAGATCCCGGTCGGAACAGGGGCTTGCTGAGTGATGTTTGCATGTTCTCCCCGTGTCTGCGCAAGTTTCCTCCGGGCGCTTCGGTGTCCCCTACCACTAAACACATACACAATAGGTCAAATCTGGTAGTATTGATGACCAATCGAGGCATCAACAGCGGTATTACAGCGACCACTGCTCCTGATAGAAGCCCTTCGCTGCCCTTGTGGCATCAGGATGGGTCAATTTGTCCCACGGGGATAAATAACGTGCACCTTATCTTTCCGGTCTGGTTCTCGGTCTGGGGCGCGGTCTGTTTGAGTTGGGATGGTCTTGGAAGTGCTCGAACTGGGCGGACTGATTCTCTGTCTGATTCACTTTCTGGTTCTCGGTCGGGTTCTTGGTCTGGTTCTCTGTCTGGTTCCTGGTATGGCTCCTGGTCTGGTTCTCTGTCTGGATCCTGGTCTGGTACTCTGTCTGGTTCCTGGTCTGGCTCCTGGTCTGGCTCCTGGTCTAGCTCTGGTCTGGCTCCTTGTCTGGCTCCTGGTCTGGATCCTGGTCGGGTTCTCTGTCTGGTTCCTGGTCTGGCTCCTGGTCTGGTTCTCTGTCTAGATCCTGGTCTGGTTCTCTGTCTGGATCCTGGTCTGGTTCTCTGTCTGGTTCCTGGTCTGGCTCCTGGTCTGGTCCCTGATCTGGCTCCTGGTCTGGTTCTCTGTCTGGATCCTGGTCTGGTTCTCTGTCTGGTTCCTGGTCTGGTTCCTGGTCTGGCTCCTGGTCTGGCTCCTGGTCTGGATCCTGGTCTGGCTCCTGGTCTGGTTCCTGGTTTGAATCCTGGTCCGGCTCCTGCTCTGGTGCCCTTCATCTTTTGGCACCATAGACTTGAAATTGAAACTGCTTTATGGCCGCATCCTCTCTCCGTTTTATACACGTATTTCCAAGTCAAGTCAAGATTATTATTGCATATAGCACAGTTCAGACACAAACTTTCTCAAAGTGCGTAACAAAACAAGATGGAACCATGAAAACCACACAGTACATTAACAAGAGTTAAGAATGCAAAATTACACTGTTGTAAACTTAAATGTCCAGATTTTGGGAAGGTGGATACATGTGTAATAACATTGAGATTAATATTAAGTCTTACATCTGTCTTACACACAACCCCTGTTTCCACCAGCCCCAACTCAGACTTACTCGGATCTACTAGGCCCTGTTCAACCGGTACCAGGTACTTTTATTGTACCTGCTAGGGTCTGGTTCTATCCAGGGTGAGCCAGCTCTAAAGTGGGTATGATCCAAAAATTGTAATGGAAATGCAAGCAGGTAGAGTAGAGCCAAGTAGAGTAGAGTAGGGCCAAATAGAGTAAAGTAGAGTAGAGCTGAGTAGAGTAGAGTAGGGGCAAGTAGAGTAGAGTAGGGGCAAGTAGAGTAGAGTAGGGTCAAATAGAGTAGAGTAGGGCCAAGTAGAGTAAAGTAGAGTAGAGCTGAGTAGTGTAGAGTAGGGGCAAGTAGAGTAGAGCCGAGTAGAGTAGAGCTGAGTAGAGTAGAGTAGGGCCAAGTAGAGTACAGTAGAGTAGAGCTGAGTGGAGCTGAGTAGAGTAGAGTAGGGGCAAGCAGAGTACAGTAAGGGCATGTAGACTAGAGTAGGGGCAAGTAGAGTACAGTAGAGTAGAGCCGAGTTGAGCCGAGTAGAGTAGGGGCAAGTGGAGTATATGAGTATGGCCATGTAATTCTGTCTTGTTTTGGGTTTTGTTGCTTGGATACGGCACCAGATCAGAGAGTAGAGCCGAGTAGAGTAGGGCTGGTGGAAACAGGGCTCTAGATTCTGTCGATTCTACTGTTATTTATCCATTTTCGTCCCCTCCGATTATCCTGCAGTAAGTTTGAATGTGTAAAAAAAAGGTGAGTTTCCCGGTGTGCAGCAGGTGAGCGAGCACAGAGGGTCTGTTGTGCACTGGGGGTCCTTGCGGGGGATTGCCCTGTGATAATAAAGACCCTCTATCAGGTCCATGGAATGTTAATGGACTGTCGCTGTTTACGGAGATCTGCCCACACAGCTGAGGGGAGGCCGGGATCTGAACTGCCCTGAGGAGAGTTAACACATACAGGACAGTAGCAGGAGCATGCAGCATCAAATAGTTTTATTCTGCTCTATATAAAACAGAATAGATTGAAAATTTGAATGGTTATACATCATAGTGATAATAATAATATTTAATAATAATAATATATGGTAATAAATAATAATAGCTAATACGTTTTGAATACACATGAATGAAAAGATAGAACACAATAGAATTCAAATAATATTCATAATACTACTTTATTCGGTCCACAGTGGGGAAATTTCAATGTTGCAGCGTGCAGACTGGACAGTAGTAAGAGCTAGCGGTAAATACTTCAATATCACTGTATCGATATATCTCTATATATGGTGAAAAGTTTTGTACATATAGGGCAGGATAAGTATAAAGTGACATTCTGAAGTTGCAATACTGCACTTTGCACATGATTACAGTATTTACTATTTACAGATGAATGATCAGCAGTTCTCATTGTACAGTCTGACAGCAGACCTGCGGAACCTCTCCTTCACACGACGAGGCTGAATAATTTGCCAGCAAAAAGAGCCTTGGAAGTAATTTTCTTTTATCTCATTAGAAAACCTGTTAGAGTTGAACAATTACAAAAAATAAAAAATAAAAATAACGCTAATAAAAATTAACGCTATTATACTTTTGGCCCCAACCAGCTTTTACTTTTAATTTTTTTCCCCCTGGGTTAAAGCTAAGGCTCCTTCCTTTAAAACTCACTCCCAGACCAGTCAATATGACGGCTTTTAGTTTTTGTCATGCAATTATTCAGCTCATGTACCTTTTTTGGTTGCCCTAACTGTAATTTCTTCGGTATATTCACCTATATTCACCAGTTTTAGCACTTGACAAAAGTTAGTACAGATAAAAGCCTTATAAATGACTTACTTTGAATAAAAAAATATGGAAAGCTTATTCACTTTTTTTGGGTTTGAGTTTTGATAGTGCTAATTGTTGTGCCCGACGGACTCCATATTATTGCATGCATTTTGTTATTGTTATATTTTGCAAACTTTTAAGAAAGAGCCCTGTCAGTCACCATTTGTCTTTTTGGGCTGAGAACGAGGTGTGTGGGGGTGTAATTTTGTTGGGGTTTATAAGTTACGTACCCCAGCTTTAAAGTCTGTTGTAAGCAGCCACAGATGAAAACCAGAGACGACTTCCTGCGTTCTGAATCGGATTATAGAGCTCCGTATTGTCCACAACGCAGGAAGTGCAGCTCTTCTTCTGTCAGAGAACTGCTCTGTGGCCTCTGAGAGTTTGTGTGAGGCGATTATGAACTCACTGCGGTGAAAAATTACAACAGATTTATCTACTTTCACCTGTCGAGAACCGAAAGCAATGGGTAAAAGATTCGTCTCACTACAGACATGGAGTAGAGTCGACTATCATGGCTGCAGTTAAGAGGGAAGTCCCGTCCATCCATCCAGTTTTTTTTGCTTATTCATCGCAGTTCAGTCTAAGCAGAGACGCCCAGACTTCCCTCTCCACACACACTCCCTCCAGCTCATCTGGGGGAATCCTGAGGCATTCCCAGGCCAGCTGAGAGACACAGTCCCTCCTGTGCGTCCTGGGTCTTCCCCTGGTCTCCTCCCAGTGGGACAGGCCCAGAACATCTCCCCAGAGAGCTGTCCAGGAGGCATCCCAAACAGAAACCTCTACCCTCCCGGATGGCTATCTCTAAAGCCTAGCGTACATCGGACTGGCAACTGATTATATCCGTCGCCTCTGAGTTGCTGCCCCGCGAAAACGGGCAACTCTGAGTCGCAGGCCAGTCTCTTGAATAACAGCGCGTACATCGACAGCAACTGGCCTCAACCACAGTGTGTTTTCTGACAACAAACTGTTGCGGGCTCGCAATACACGCAATACACACACGTTGTCGGAGCGGCGCATGGAGCGCGCACATCGGAGCAACTGAGGACAACTAGTTGCCGAAAAGTAGAACACGGGCAACTGACTGGAACTGGAGACCGACTGATCATCTCCAGTTGTAAGAGCGCGCACATCGACCAATTTCGGCAACTGATCATCTCCCACCATCTCCTCTCAGTTGCCAAAAGCCGCCTTGCAACTAGTTGTCCCCAGTTTCTCTGTCGATGTACGCTAGGCATAAGGGAGCCCCTTCCTGTGGACCGCTTTTTTGTTTTTTTTGTCGTCCAGAGATGACCCTAGGGCACATAGATAGACCAGTAATTTAATAGCTTTGACTGTAGACGCTGCTACTTCTTCACTGCAACAGTCTGATACCCCAATCAGGTTTTTTTTCCCCCCGACCGATACGAGTCTCGATCCGATACTTCAACAATATTATATCAATACATAAATCATAATATTTTTATTAGTAAAGAATATTTCCAAAGTTCTTAACATAGGCAGTGTTCTTATAGTTTGCACACAATCAGTCTGGACCAGTTGATGCTAATGCTCAATATTTAGCATTCTTCTTTCATCAAAAATACCTGTAGCTTCAGGTTGAGGGTGAACAAGTTTCTTCTGACTTGTGATTGCATATTTCACACCTCCAGAGAGATTTTTGTTGTTGTTGTCTAACTCACTGCTTCCTCAAGAAAGGTCTGGAA